TTCACACCGTCAATAGAAGTGCTAAAACATTTTCTTCCAGTGAATTTTGTTATTATAGCATTAGCGGTTTAGGAGATACGCACATTAAACCTATTAGAGGCGGGACCACGCCCACTTTTTAAAAAAAATTTTAACTGCAGATGCCCCTCCCTAATGTGATCCTGTGTACCAAATAACAGTCTTGTATCTTATTGCGAAGCTTAGTTATGGCAATTTATTTGTTTTTAATTAATAGCGTTTTGTGGGCGTGGCAGTGGTCCGATTACGCCCATCTGCAATACCAGCCGTCTCACGATACCAAGAAACATGTCTACTAAGTTTCATAAAGATATCTCAATTTTTACTAAAGTTAGAGCTTGCACGGACGGACAGACGGGCGGACGGACAGACAGTCACCCGGATTTCAACTCGTCTCCTCATCCTGATCATTTATATATACATAACCCTATATCTAACTCGATTAGTTTTAGGTAATACAAACAACCGTTAGGTGAACAAAACTATTATACTCTGTAGCAACAGGTTGCGAGAGTATAAAAAGGTGAGCTTAAGCCACAATACGATGGCGTGCTACAAGAATACCTCCGTTAAGACCACATGGAGGAAGTAAGCGCAGGCGAAAAAATCATAAATGGCAAGTATTACTCATTTCACTTGCATCATCACGCAGTAGTAAAGCCAAATAAAAAAACAACAAAAGTCAGAGTGGTTTTCAATGCCTCAAGATCCACTAGCTCAGGAAATTCCCTAAATGATATTCTATTTACGGGACCCACACTGTAACCAGATCTAATGCTCCTCATTTTAAATTGGCATACATTCAAATACGTATTCAACTGAGACGTCGAACAAATGTATAGACAAATAGTCTTACATAAAGACGACCAAGATGTTGAGCGAATCATTTTCTGAAAATCTCTATAAACTAAAAACAGTTACCTTTGGCGTCAACTGTGCTCCATATTTAGCCATTCGAACACTCCACGAATTGGCAGAAAACACAAAGTCAGAATTTCCTCTAGCAACCGAAGTGTTAAAAACTCAAACGTATGTAGACGATATTCTGTCTGGAAGTCACAGTCTTTCACAAGCATACGAGTCACTAGCACAAGTGACACAAGCCCTCAAAACCGCAGGGTTTCCGTTAAAAAAGATAACGGCGAACCACCCTAATATCTTAAAGGACATACCTAAAGAAAATCTGTTGGACACTAATTTCCTTAAATTCGAAAAGGAAAGTACAACAAAAACTCTGGGGATCCAATGGAATGCGATATCTGACCAGTTTTCATACACTACAGAGTCCATATCAGCATTATCCGCCAAAACAAAACGCCAAATTTAATCCTCTGTGGCAAAACTTTTCGACTGCGCAGGATGGCTTTCGCCAATTATGGTACAAGCGAAAATCTTGATACAAGAATTATGGCTAATTAGATCCGACTGGGACGAACAAGTAAAACCACTTCGTTAAGAAAAGTGGTCCCAGTTTGCAAGCAATCTGAATGATATCTTACAGATACAAATTCAACGATTGGCAAATTATGCCCCAGAGCACAAAGTCGAACTACACGGCTTCTGTGACGCTTCTGAAAAGGCATATTGCGCAACTACAAGAATATATGGTCGCACACAAAGCGACACTGCGACCACAAACCATTATTAGTAGCAGAGGCAAAAGTGGCTCTTTAAAACAATAAGTCTACCACGACTTGAACTATGTGGAGCGCTATTACTAGCCAAACTAGTATCCATCGTACAAACGCATTTAAACATAGCACAATATAAATTATCTCTATGGTCCGATTCCGAAATTGTATTAGCATGGTTATAAAAACCACCACATGCATGGAAGACGTATATTTCCAATCGACGGTCTCAAATCCTTGACCTAGTAGGATCAGCCACTTGGCTCAGAAGTCGAAAATCGACTCCTTTCACACAGCAGTGGAGGATACTGACATCCTTGAGCGATTTTCATCGTTCTCCCGAGCTCTCAGAGTAATCGCCTATATGTTAAAGTTCATAGAGCGACTTAGAATTAAAGTTAAAGGAAGTCCCTCAGAGTACCCCAATGCGATATATGACACACCTAGAATTGCAGAAAGCAAAGTCGCCTCTTATCGCATATACTGAAGCGCGCTACTTCAGCCGCGATATAACACTACTAAGAGAATCAAAACCCATTGACAAAAGGAATTCACTCTAAGTTCTTAACCCAGTCCGACACGAAAGGTCTGCTTCGTGCGAATGGTCGGCTTGCCAATTCAAGCTCACGTATAACGAACGCCACCCTCTAATCATACCAGAGAAATCTCGACTTGCCACTTTACTCCTCATTTATATCACTTTCTTATGCTCCACGCAGAACATCGCCTAATGCAACATATAGTCCGCAAAGATTCTAGGTATATTCCCGATTTAAACCCCAAATAAAAATGCATTTTCATGTGCAAGATCTGCACTCTGCATAAGCAGAAGTTGCAACGCAGATTATGGCAGCACTTCCACCGGAACGCTGCAACTTCGCTCTGCTTTTCACAGTCACAGGTGTCGATTTTGCTGGGCCTTTTCAAATAAAGGCGTCCATGCTAAGGTCGCCCACCATAATGAAAGGCTATAGTGGCTGTCTTTGTCTGTTTTACAACAAAAGCAGTGCACCTCGAGCTATGTACGAATCTGACTAAGGAGTGTTTTCTCGCGGCATTTGCTCGCTTCGTCGGACGACGCGGCTTCCCTCAAAACTAATGAGCGATAACGGCAAAACCTTCATTGGAGCCCAAAGAGCCACTGAAAACAGTTTCTGGATAAACAAGTATCACCTGAAATTGTTCAGAAGTATGCTCCCCAAGGCATTAATTGGCAGTTTATCCCCAAGCGCTCCTCATATGGGTGATTTATGGGAATCAGCTGTAAAAGCTTCAAATCTTATTTCAAGAAAGTAGCTGGAAATCACTCCTTATTAATTCACTCTCGCAAGATCCTCCAACTTCACAGCCCTAACTCAGGCATTTTCTCAAAGAAGCACCATTCTAGCCATATCTGAGCCAGGCGTGGGTTCGCTATTCTTATTAAATCGATGGGAAAGAATCAAAATTCTCCATCATGATTTCAGCCGCCGATGGAAGGAAGAGACATCAAGGACCTGCATAAAAGGTACCGATGGAAAACTCCAGAAAAGGCACCAAAGCTTGGAGACTGTTTCATCATACACGATGATTGTCTACCCCACATAATGGCGGCTTGGCGCATAGAAAACTATATTACGGTTCCGACGGTCATATACGAGTGGTTGATCTCCGTACTCAAACGGAACGCAAACAAGACCGCTCGTGAAATTATGTTTTCTGCCAACCGCATCTAATGACAAAACCGCAAATAACGAACAATCCGTCGATATTACGCAACGCAAATTAATTAATCATATAACAAACCGATAAACCGCAGCAATGACAAAACCGTTGTAAATGTAACCATTCTAACGGCAATGATCGATCAAGTTGACGATCCATTCCTGCCACATACAGTGGCACATTCGGCATAAATTTACATGCCACAAATGTAACCATTCTAACTTCTTCCGATAAAATGGATGTAGATATGGCCACAACACCAATGCCAGCTGTGAGGTCCGCCATCAATGTGCCGGGCAGTGGGCAACTCCAGCACCACGAACCGCAGCGGCAATAGTTCCTGCAACGCTCCCGTAGTGGCCCGGACCACTACACCTTCATCAGCACCAGCAACGGTACCTCAACGCAGCCATGTCCGCTGTATCGACGCACACACCAGCTGCAACACTGCAGCATTTTCGAGGTATGCAGCCCTCCAACGTCAGCAGGTTGCCCAAGCTCACGGGCACTGCCTCAATCAATATCACACCACTCAGACTACCCACACATACACATCAATCATACCACAACTTCACACAACAACACTCAAAAGGGACTAGCACAGGACCAGAGGCCTTCCTTTTTCATGCGCATTTCGAGCCGCAATGACGTGCGCCGGTCGCAGCAACTTCTCGCCCGAGTACCTTGAGTGAAATCTTCAGCCTTTATATATATATTTTTGATTCTAATAAACAAGCGGATACCGCCGAAAATCCATTTTAATTTTTGTGCTAGCAATAAACGCATTTAAACGATGAGTGCAATCGATTGTATTATTTAAAGTTAATGCACCAAAATAATGATAAGATCACTTATCCTTATGTTTCTTGAAGATGCACAGTTAAATCACTAAACAAAAATTAATTGACTTTTAGAACTGACAAATCGCACAAAAATTCACAGCACAGAAATAATACAGCTTAACAGCTTGAAGTGTTGCCATTTTAATGCAGCGAATACAAAATTTCCAGGTGCAAATGTGCTGACGGTTTTAGGAAATTAAATGGAAAACATTAAAATTTGTGCATAACTTCTAAAAGTTTTGTATTTAGTTAGCAAATATATATATTTTCCTTCACAATTTTATTCTTGCTAAGCTTTAATCCCTTATATCATTTCCAATCTGTGCATATTGCAAAATTGCTTCTGGTTAGCATATGTAAACATCTAGTCTAGTACTAGTTAACAATCGCACCTCTTTTGGTTTCGAATCATTCAAATGACTTATTATTTTTATAGGCTAAAGAAATTCAATATATATAATTGTGAAGTGAAGTTGCTTTTTATTTTATCAACCTATTATTTTGTAGTAACAGCACCATAGTAATGTACATATATAAGTATACCTATTTTGATACCACCAGAAGGTAGTGGTTTCAACAAATATACTGACTTCTTAAAAATCTGAAATTTTAAAACTCTACAGCAGCTCCAAACTTACCAGGGTAAATGTGAATTAGAAATACAGTTTACAGAACTGTCTCAAACTCCGAAAGTTCGCTGAACTCTATGTATTAGGTAGGGTGTAAAATATTTAGTTTCTTTTAAATTTGTAACTTTCGAATATTATTGTTAATATATATTTGTTGCTTACCTCTTTTATTTCAGTTTGAACTTGACGGAACTGGTACACTCATTTAAGCTCCATGCTCGTGGGTTGGGCACAGATATTGCCGTTGTTAGCAGCATGGTATTTCTTGCGCAGTTTATTCTCTCCATTTGCATGGGTACTATAGTACGGTTATCTGGAACAACGACTGCCGTAGTTGGCATGGCGTTTTAAGCTTTTGTGGAGCAATAGCTGCCACTAAAATTATGTATTTAGATTTATAAAGGCTATAACCCCAGAACCAATGTCCTATTCTGCACATATTCTCATGATGAGAAAATTGTTCATTATAAGTCGGTGAATAAATAATCGCATTTTAAATTATTGCATGTGTCGTTTACTTTGCTACTGTACCGAACATAGTTAATTTTTATAATATACGAAGTGTTAATTCAAGCAATAGTTAGTACCTTCCGCAGCTCTCTGTAACTAGAGAATGATACTCAAGAGGTAGCACTAGTCTAGGATTTTCAAAATGTTTTTATTGGTCCCCAAATATTTCTATTAGTGAAAATATTATTGGTTCAGAAGATTGACCCAGTCAATTGTCAATACAAAATTTTGTGTTCTCATATATACATACATATATGTATGTATGTTTATATGTTTAGAGAAACCTTTTCGTACAATCAAAATAAATTTTCAAGGTAGGGCTTTCATGCCTACTATTCAATCTTGCACTTGAAGAGGTGATAAGATACTCGGATGTAAACACTAAAGGTACAATATTTTTAAATCGACTCAAATTTGTGTGGACGAGGACGTTGAAGCGCTGAAATTACAATGTTGGCGAACTTAAGGAAGGGACAAACATAATTGAACAACTAAATTGCAGTAAGCGAAGACCCGCACCGGGTTGTGGAGCTAATGATGATGATGATAGTTCACATATTTACCCCAAACTAACACGTATTTTTAGGTATACTATACTTGTATATCTTCAGCAGCAGCATAGAGATTTTATTAGCTGAGTTATTCAAAATACTAATTTATATTCATATGTTATGATAATTTATATTTATATATATTAAGATTTATATTCACTTATTATTTAATGTGATAAGTAATAAAGTAAAGAAGCAGTGCGATTAAGGAAACAAAGAAAATTCTGTTTTATTTAACCAATGCGAGTAATTAATTTTACATTAGAAATTGCGTTACTCCTCATAACTTGGTGCCGGATCGTCCGAAATCACGAAATCAAGATTCACTCGTTAGATTAGTTTTCTCCGGGAATGTCAAGAGAATATTTTGAACTACAATTTTCATTTTGTTAAAACACTTTGAAGGAGAAAATGCGATGTTTTACGATTTTGTTATTGTAAAATAAAATTATTAACAAATTTATAAACCACTCTCCAGCGTTACCGCATAAATTATGTACGGAAATAAGGTTCAACATTTCAAAAGGATCTGTGCAGTAGTTTTAACGTTATGAAGGTCCCGCTTGAAATCCTTTAAAGTTTTGAACACTATCAAATTTGGTATACAAGGTGCGTTCCACCTTTTAAAACAAGGACAGAACAAATGGTTTTAACGGCAAAATCAATTAATTTTATTCAAAATAGTCTCCTTATGCTTTAATACAGCTTTTGCACGGTCCAAAAGCATGTCGAACGAATGTTTTAGCTCGTTGCCGGTATGGCCGCCAGAATGCCGGTGCTAGCCTTTTGAATGGCCTCCACGTCTGCATAACGCGTTCCTTTCATCGGCAAATGCATTTTCCGAAAATGTAGAAGTCGCACGGTGTCCATATCAGGTGAATACGGGGAGTGGTTGATTGTTAAATGTGATTTTGGTCAAATAATCGGCCAAAAGCGTCGATCGATGAGACGGCGCATTATCTACAACAAACAAACGCCAACTTCCATCTTCGCGATATTAGGGCCGAACACGTCGAATACGGCGCACAAACGCTTCAAAACTCAAAGTTGAATACCGCATTAACGTTCTAGCCAGGTGGAGCAAATTCTTGTGGACACTACCTTGGAATCATAAAAACAAATCAGCATTGTCTTTACCTTTGACTTCTCCAGGGTGATTTTTGGCCCACATGTTCATCGTCATTTATGTCCTCACGACCACTTTGAAAACGTTGAACCACTCGTGCACTCTTCTACGGGATAGGCAATCATCGCCATAAA